TGAACACTGCATTACCTCTCACCTGTAGGCAGGAGACAGGGTAACCATAATGAGCAGAAATACTGTGAATTTTAATAAGTGCTGAAGGCCAAGTGCGGGCCACTGTGAGAGTATAAAATCTCTGGGAACCATGGACCCAAGGAGGAGTTGACTCCATTCACAGACTCTACCCAATGGACATCTATCAGGAGCCCATGAGAAAGATTGGATAGATAGAAAGAATGGAGAGGGCCAGGCACGGTGACTCACGCCTGTAATCCCAGTACTTTGGGAGGCCAAGGCGGGCAGATGACGAGGTCAGGAGATCGAGACCATCGTGGCTAACATGGTGAAACCCTGTCTCTACTAAAAATGTAAAAAATTAGCCGGGCGTGGTGGCGGGCACCTGTAGTCCCAGCTACTTGGGAGGCTGAGGCAGAAGAATGGTGTGAACCCAGGAAAAGGAGCTTGCAGTGATGGAAATAATGCCACTGCACTCCAGCCTGGGTGACAGAGGGAGACTCCGTCTGAAAAAAAAAAAAAAAGAAAAAAGAAAATTCCCCCAGAGCAGAGCTGCAGGGGAGGGTGGGAAGCTGGCTCAGGCCCTGCACCTAGGTAGCTGCCCCACCTGGTGCTGCCCTGGGTAACCCACCTACTAAATGAAACTCCCTTTCCCGAGCAGGGACAGATTCCACTCATTCCTGCCCCATGTGCTCTGCTAAAAATTTCTATCAATAATGTGCCTCATTATTCCTTGGGACGGGAAGGACTGGGGAGAAAAAAACCTCACCATGATTGTGTCAAAATACAAGGGAATTCATTGCAAAGAGCTTGCTGTGCTCCACGAATGGGGTGGAGCTCAAGTCTGAAATTACAGGACGGCTACGAAGGCGGATGGCCAGCCACAGTGTGGCGGAAGTGTAACCCTGAACAGTGGTGGCAAGGGGGCCAGCCCACGGGCAGCAGGGCTGGTGTTGGCAAGGTTGCTGGAGCATATCACGGGTGCCTGGAGGACAGCTTTTCTACCTTGACCTGTAGGAAACAGACTTCTCTCTTTATATGAAGATAATGCCATAAAATGTCTGTCTGTCTGTCTGTCTGTCTATCTATCTATCTATCTATCTATCTATCTATCTATCTATCTATCATCTTTCTACCAATTATCTATCTATCATCTATCTATCTATTATCTATCTAATCTATTTATTTCATTAATTACATTTATTTATGTAATTGTGTTTCAAGCTCTGTTTACCTCCTGAACTTTTCATGTGAGAGACCACATTTATTCAACATATGCTTTAGGTAAGTTTCATTTGGATTTCTCTTAGTACCTACAATAGAATCCTGATTAAAATCACTGCTGCATTTGAGCATTTATATTCTATCCTGTAACTATAATTTATATGATCACCAGTAATTTTATCTGTATCAATCTTGTCTCCTGTATTAGATAACAGGTTCTTAAAGTCTGGTACAAACATTTAAGTTTTTTATTGAGTAAAACATACATTTAAGAAATATATATATATACACACACATATACACATTCACACAAACACATACAGGCTATGTATATATTACGACTTGGTAATTTCACTAACTGATAACACTGTGTAATTAGGACCCAGATCAAGAGACAATATTACCAGCATACCAGAAGCCATATGGAGCTCAATTCCAGGCCCTGCTCACTTCCCCCTCCTTGCCTATCTGCCCAAAATGGTCATCACATTCCTGACGTCTAACAGCAATATTACTTTTTCCAGGTTTTGTGCTTTATATGAACAGCATCACATACTCTTGCATCTGGCTCCTTTCCCTGAATATTATGTTTAGGAGATTCACGTGTATTGTTGTATATGGCTGCAGTTTGTTATCATTGCTGTATAGTCTTTCATTGTATGGATATGCCATAATTTATCCATTCTACTGGTTTAGGGCATTTGGAGAATGTATTAGTCTGCTCGGAATTCTGTAACAAAATACCATAGACTGGGTGGCTTAATCAACTGAAATTTTGCATTTGCACTGTTCTCAAGGCTAGAAGTTCCAGACCAGGACACAGCGAGAAGGCAGCAATCTGCAAACAAGGAAGACAGCCCTCAACAGGAAATGAGTCAGCTTAATCAACTAAAATTCACGTTTGCTTAGTTCTCTAGGCTAGAAGTTCCAGATCAAGGTGCCAGCTGCCTATGTGGCCTTTCTTCTGTGCATGAGCAGTGAGACAGAGAGAGAGAGACAGAGAAACAGACACAGAGAGAGAGAGAGCGCACGCTCTGGTGTTTCTTCTTCTTATAAGGACACCAGTTCCACTGGATGCTAGCCACACACTTACGACCTATTTAACTGTAATTAACTTCATAAAGGCTCTATCTCCAAATATAGTTACATGAGGGATTGGCGCTTCAACATAGGAATTTTGGGGGGAACATAATTCAGTCCATAATAGATAGTCTTTAGTTTTAGATTATTATAGTGTTGTTATGAAGAATATTCTAGGACATATCTTTTAATGACCACATGAGTGCATTTCTCTTGGATATATACCTATGAGTGGCTTTGCTGGGTCAAAAGAGCTTCAGGTAACAGCCTCACCCATTACGAGCAGAATTGGCCCAGAATTTCATCACCATCTTGCTAAGTCTGATCTCCTCTTCTGAGGCACCCTCTGCGGGGAAGAAGAAAAAAAGCCTTTGTGACTCAAAGTGTGATCCGCGGACCAGCAGCATCAGGCTACAGAAGGAGTTTAGACCAGTTGTTGGAAGACACAGCCTCATGGGGGGTTTTGAGAGGCTAATGCACATACTCAGAAAGGTGTTGTAGGCCGGTGCAAGCATCAGCAAATGCCATGCAACAGTACCACAGGATCACCTCAGCATATCTCCCGCTTCCCGGATCCAGGCACATTCTCAGCCTGGGCCATGTCCATTTCCACAGACAGCTCCAAATAGAGGGTCTGGATGCTACACTCTGGCCATCCCAACTCCTATCGTTGGAAATTGTTGGGGGCCCAGAAACGATCAACAGACCCAGAGTTCCCCTGAGCACCATCCATGGCCCAGTCCTCTGGGCTCTGCTCATCCTTAGGCTAGGTCATCCCCAGCAGAGCCACCTTCCTTCTCACATTGCCTATTTCATCATCATTCTGTCTCTGAGAACAATGGATTAATCTCCAGTATAAGACACAAGAATTATTTTGGCCTTCAAGAGATACTTTATTCCCAAAGCTGAGGTCACAAATACAAAACTTTCTCCTTCATGGCCTCTGCCCCCTGCCCCCCACCACCAGACAATTCCCCAGCCACAGTAAGATGCCTTCTGAACCTGCAATCCCTTTCGCAAAAGACCCCAGTCTTTGCTCTTCCAGGTCCCCGAGGCTGGCTGGATCTTCTATTCATAGCTCAATGTGTTCTG